AAACCATTGCTTTTTGCTGATGATATAATCTTATATCTATAAAACCCCAAAGACTCCACCAAGAGACTCCTGGAATTGATAAATAAATTTAGCAAACTCTTGGGTTATAAAATCAATTTATACAAATCAGTAGCATTTCTATACACCAATAACAGTTAAGCTGAGAGTCAAATCAAAGACTCAATACCATTCACAATGTCTACAATGAAAATAAAATACGTAGGAATATACTTAATCAAGGAAGTGAAAGACCTCTACAAAGAGAATTATGAAATATTAAGGAAAAAAATCATAGATGACACAAATGGAAAAACATATTATGCTCATGGATCAGTAGAATCAACACTGTTAAAATGTCCATACTACCCAAAATGATTTACAGATGCAATGCAATCCCCATCAAAATACCAATGACATATTTCACAGATCTAGAAAACATAACTGTATGCTCTGTTTAGAACCAGAAAAGAGCCCAAATAGCCAAAGCAATCATAAGCAAAAAGAACAAATCTGGAGACATCACATTACCACATTTCAAACTATACTACGAGGCTATAGTAACCAAGACAGCATGGTATTGGCATGAAAATAGAGACATAGACTAATGTAACAGAACAGAAAACCCAGATATAAAACCATCCTCATACAACCAATTGATCTTTGACAAAGCAGACAAAAATATACACTGGAAAAGAACCTCTATTCAATAAACGGTGCTAGAAAAATTGGATAGCCACATGCGGAAGAATGAAACAGGATCCATATCTACATCACTCACAAAAATTAATTCAAGATGGATAAAAGACTTAAATGTAAGGCATGAAACCATAGGAATTCTAGAATAAAATATTGGAAAAGACTCTTCTAGATATTGACCTAGGCAAAGAATTTATGAAGAAGACCCCAATGACAATCATAGCAACAACAAAAATAAATAAATGGGACTTGATCAAATTAAAAAGTTTCTGCACAACTAAGGAAATAATCAACAGAATATACAGACAATCTACAGAATGGATGAAAATATTCTCAAGCTATACATCCAATAAAAAGCTAATATCCAGAATCTACAAAGAACTCAAGCAAATCAGCAAGGAAAAATCAAGCAATCCCATTAAAAAGAGTGCAAAAGACATGAACAGAAGCTTTTCAAAGACAAATGGTCTTTGAAAGAATATAGACAAATGGCCAATAAACATACGAAAAACATGCTCAACTTCACCAATCATCAGGGAAATGAAAATTAAAACCACAATAAGATATCACCTTACCCTAGTTAGAAGGGCTTTCATTAAAAAGTCCAGAAACAATAGATGCTGGGGTGGATGCAAAGAGAAAGGAATGCTTATATACTGTTGGTGGGACTGCAAATTAGTACAACCTCCATGGAAAACAGTATGGAGATTCCTCAAAGAACTAGAAGCAGACCTACCATTTGATCCAGCAATCCCACTACCAGGTATTTACTCACAGGAAAAAAAAAAAACCATTTTATCAAAAAGCCACCTGCACTCAAATGTTTATTGCAGCACAATTCGCAATTGCAAAGATGCGAATCAACCCAAGTGCCCATCAATTCATGAGTGGATTAACAAAAATGTGGTATATGTATACTATAGACTATTGCTCAACCATGAAGAAGGATGAATTAAGGCATTTTGCAACAATTTGGATGGAACTGGAGACCATTATCCTAAGTGAAGTATCTAAAGAATAGGAAAACAAACACCACATGTACTCTCCATTAAATTGGAACTGACCGATGAGCACACACATACACAGAGAAAGTAAAATTCATGGAAATCAAGCAGGTAGGGGGAAAGAGGGTTTTGGCAAAAATCTACCTAAGTGGTACAATGAACACTATCTGGGTGCTGGGCAAACTTATAACCCTGACTCGAGCATAACAAAATCAATACATGTAACCAAAAATATTTGTACTCCCATAATATTTTGAAATAAATAAATAAAGTAAAACTAGATGTCTTCACAGATAAATTCTACCAAACAGTTAAAGAAGAATTAATACCAATTTGTCCCAAACTCTTTCAAAAAATAGAAAAGGAGGAAACACTATCCAATTATTTTTATGAATTTCTCTGATACTAAACCACACAAAGATGTCAGAAGAAAAAAAAACCTAACAATCAATATTCTTTATGATTATAGACTCAAAAACCCTTAACACAATATTAGCATATCAAATTCAGCAATTCATAAAAAGAATCATGTACCCTGGCCTAGTGAGACTTATCCCAGGAATGTAAGTTTGTCTTACCACGTGGAAATCAATCGATGTAATACAACATATTAATAGAATAAAAGACAAAAACCACATGACGATCTAAAAAGAGGCAGAGAAAGCATTTGACAAAATTCAACACCCTTTTATGATAAAAACACTCGTTGAACCAGGGAACATTCCCAATCTGATAAAGGCCATGTAAAAAACCCACAGCTAACATCATACTTCAGGTTGAAACACTGGATGCTTTCCCACTAAGAACAGGAACAAGACAAGGATGTCCACTCTTACAACTTCCACTCAACATTGTGCTAGAAGTTCTAGCCAAGACATTTAGGCAATAAAAGAAATAAAAGGCATCTATATGGTAAAGGAAGGATTAAACAATTTATATTCACAGATGACAGGATCTTGTATATAGATAATACTAAGGAATACATAAAAAGCTATCAGAACTAATTAGTAAGTTCAATTTTGTTATGGACTGAATATTGTCCCTCCAAATCCATAAGTTGTAGCCCTAACACCCAGTACCTAAGAATGCATTTGGAGATAGACCCTTTAATGAGGTGATTAAGTTAAAATGAGGCTGTTAGGGTGTGCCATAACGCAATCAGAATGGTGTCCTCATATTGGTATCCTCTTACAATCTAAGAGATTAGGACACACAGAAAAATAGCACGCACAGAGGAAAGGCTGTGTGAGGACTCGGAGAAGGCAGTCATTTGCAAGCCAAAGAGAGAGGCCTCAGGAGAAATCAAACTTGCTGATAACTTGATCCTGGACTTCTAGCCTCCAGAAATGTGATAAAATAAATTTCAGATGTTTCAGCCACCCAGTATATGGTATTTTGTTATGATAGCCCTAGAAAACAAATACAAACAGGATTATAAGATACAAGGTCAATATACAAAAATATATTTTGGTACACAAACACAGATGCACACTGATGTTTTAGAGCCATTGCCCAATAGGATGCAAGTGTACAGGTGAGTCCTTAGAATACTTGAAGGAGGACATGAATCTTGCCACAAACCAATTAAACTAGAATCTCTGTGGGTAGAACATGAGCACCAGTATCTTTTAGTGCCCTTGGTGATTCTAACGTGCAGCCTTAGTGCCACAGGGAATGTTAGAGGGAGTGCCCAATTGCAGCTAGCTCTGGAACGAGGCAGTCTGTGTGGTTCTAGGCCTTTCTGAAGGTTCTGGTCCAATAGTATTTGAGCTATAAAGAGATTTAAAACGAATGACACTCTGGGATGGAATAGCAATAAGACTGACTTGACCAGGAAGAGCCAACTGGGCAGGAAGATTCACTTAGAGAGAGTGGGTCAAAGTGAACAATGTCCAGCCATATGAACTAAATAGGCAAAAATAGGGTTGATTTCAAGTCAAGTTAGTTAACCCTAAACTATTTGTCTTTTGTCCTCTGTGCTTATGATTCACTTGTGAGGACTTGTGCCCAAATAAGAAACAGTTATCTATAGACAGAGCAGTGTTATTCATTATTGTCCCCCTTGAAAAACATTTTAGGTATTTTTTTCGTAATCACCCAACCCCATAAAATTTGAATACCACAGATATACTGTATATTTGTTTATGTACTGTGGTCTTTTGGAGGACCACAAACCATTATAATATCTAAGATTTTTTTGTCACCACCCAAGGACTAATTTTTAACCCCTTGGACATAGGCGATATCTTTCCTGTTGAGAATGTATGAGGCAGAATTTGTTCATTATCTGATATCTGTTTTCTGGAGACTTTTCTAGCACCCCCTCTGCTATCAGGCCTCTTAGATTGTTCTGGGTGGACCAATTATTTGGCCTAAAACATTTTCCAGATGGTCAGGAAGGACAGGGAGTCAGGGGAAAGGGAGAGGATACTCTACTAGGAATAGTAATAGCTAACAGGTATCCAGTGCTTTCTGTGTATCAGACATTTTAGTAAGGGTTTTACATATATTTCATTTAATCCTATCACACTTCTCATGAGGAGCTTATTATTCTTCGTAACTTATGAATGAGAAAGCTGAATTTGGTTTGGTAATTTGTTTGGTATTGTACTTATTGTTTCATTATCCTGCTGTACTTTGATGAGGAGGAAGATGTAGAAGCCTCAGAAAAGTCAGGGAATTGTGTCCATAGGAGTTATAAATAAGAAATTTTCTAGGAGACTGCTGAACAAAATGCCAGAATTCAATGGGATAAATGAAGGAACATCTGATGGCCCTAGATGTCAGGATGAGGGCAGTACAGAGTGAAAGCTTCAGCCAATAATGCCATTGTGTATAAACAACCCTTGGTTATATTCTTATCAGACTAAAACTAGATCTTTAGTTGATGTTTCTCCATGCATCATAAATTTACTGGATGTAGCTACATATGTCATGCATTATTGTGAGCAAATCTTCAAATGTGAAAATGCATTTTGTTCCCATGAAACAGCATAACCTTCTTCAAAACATGGGGAAATAAGAACCAGTTGTCCAATGCAAGAAACACAAATGTGTCCATAATTTTGTGAACAATATAACAAACCAAAATAGTACAACAATTTTTGATTTATTCCAATTACTATCAAGACTTAGGAAAGGGGATTAAATAAGTGAGGCAGGCCTACTGTGGCAGTGCCTGATTCTTTTGATCATGCTGCTGCAACACAAAAATACTCCTGCATCCCACACCCCAACACCACCACTCAGCCTCCTACGTAACGTCGGCTGCACACGGTACGCCATCTCCTCCCAGGTTGCCAGGGCAATGCGGTTCATGCCTGTCACATCTGAGTTGGGTGGAGAACACTGAGGCAAAGCTCTTTTCTCTCAGTGATGTTCATGAATCATCAAGCTGCCAGTTTTGACGTTAACCCAGAGAATTGCCCTAATAGTTTCTGCCAGGCCCCCTTCACCTCCTTATTCCTTAGACTATAAATCATGGGGTTCAGCATGGGTGTCAAAAGGGCATAGAAGAGAGAGATCAGCTTCTCCTGAAGGACGGAGGGACTGGAGCGGGGCTGGATGTAAGTCAAAATGGCCATGCCATAGCACAGGGCAACCACCGTGAGGTGAGAGGCACACGTGTGGAAGGCTTTCTTCCTTCCTTCTGGGGACTGGATCTTTAGGATGGTGGAGATGATCCAGATGTAGGACAAAAGAACCAGGCAGAAGGGTGTCATCAGAAGGACAATGCTAGAGACCATGATGGCAACCTCATTGGAGGAGGTGTCCACACAAGCCAGCTTGACCACAGCTAGGATTTCACAGGATATATGATCAATGAACTTGTTAGTGCACGTGGGCAGCTGAAAGGTGATGACAGTGTGCATGAGAGAGTTGACGAAGCCACTGACCCAGGACGTGATGGCCAGCCTAGCACACAGCCCTGCATGCATGACGGCCGAGTATCGCAGGGGGTCACACACAGCCACATAGCGGTCATAGGCCATCACTGCCAGGAGAACAAACTCAATCCCACCCAATGCCAGGGAGAAAAATAACTGGGCTGCACAGCTCAGGAGTGGGATGACTCTATGTTTTGCAAGAAAATGTACCAGCATCTGAGGGACTATGCTTGTGGCATAGGAGACATCAACAAGGGAGAGGTTGGCGAGAAAGAAATACATGGGAGTGTGCAGTCGGCTGTCCAGTCTGATCAGAAGAACAAAGAGAAAGTTCCCCAGCACTGTCGCCAGGTACATGACCAAGAAGAGGACAAAGAGGGCCACCTGAGTGTCCCAGTCACTGGACAGGCCAAGGAGGATAAATTCTCTTACCCATGTCTGGTTATCTGTTCCCATTAAAAAACGTGAGGACTATTAATCTGCAGAGAGAGTCAGAAAAACACAGAATCTAATGAATAACTTTCTAAGAATGCATAGGTACCTGACCTTCTAGTGCTAGCCTTGATCTTTAGATCATTCAGAGACCAAGATGACAAACATGATCCCAACATGCATTATATACACTCAGCTTCAGAGAGACAGGCCAATACCTTGATAAGGACATGATGTGTCACAGGGAGGTCAGTGAAATCCTAGAGATAATATAGGGCAATTTTAGGAGTTCTACATTTTTACCAACTTACCTTGATTCCAGGGCAAGAAGAGCATGGTAGTTGACAGTGGCCAAAAAATGATAAACAATGAAGAAGACAGGATTGGAAACTTTAAAAACTACCCCAAATATGTCAACTAGACCCACCTTGATGAAATGTATAAATCAGTTAGAAAAGGAGACATTGGGAAGAGGTAAGGGTCTTGTGGAAAGACCTAGGATCAGAGAACCTTGCTTTGAAAATTGTTTTTATTTAGCAGGTATGTGATTGTTGTTTAGTGATAAACTTTCATATGTAAAACAGGTTAATATTAAATAACTCAGAAGTACATTTAAGCTCAAACATAGATAGCTTATGGGAAAATAATTTGTATACAATTATTGGTAGTACTACTATAGTGTTAAGGGTATTAGTAGTACGATGATCTCTGCCATGGGGTAGATAAAGTAACAAATGTGATTTCCTCTCACATCCCCTCCACAAAATCAGACGTCAACATTTAATAGATCTGAGTGGTTAGATGATTGGTCTTCTCAATAGGCTTTGGTCTTTTCGGCCATTAGTGGGATGGGGTAGGGCATTATAATGGTATCTTACTCTTTGTATTTTTCTCTTTTTAATTTGATGCTGTTAAGAATCTTTCTTCGGATATAGCTTTATAAGAAAACAAACAAAAATATGGATATTGTATCTATACTTTATAGACACAAGGGATAAAGGGAACGTAGATGTTTAAGGACCCTTCTTCATTGTCTGAGACAGAAAAGAAGATACGAGAGTTCACATAGATGTACTTTGAATAGAGATTCCTTTATGTTATCTTTTGCTCAGCAAGTGCTTTTTCAGTAAAACTAATGTGTTATACCATCAATTTTGAAAACTAAACAGAAACATGTTACATTAAAAAAATTTTTTAGACCTGACTCCTTATTCCACGCCTGCCAGTTCAGCAGCTTCCCTTGTACTGCAGTGCACAGCATACGGGAGACTAGGTGAGAAAGGAGGCAGGAGGGACTGAGGGACTGGGGTCAGAAACAGAGGTTCTTCATCTGACTAGGGGTCTCTGAGCTGAAAGATCGTCAACACTTCAACTCTCTCGCCTGACAAAGGACAAAACACACACTTCCAGAAATGCCCATCTCCTCAGGCTCGAGACAGACACGCTCTTTCTAAACGCTCCCCGAACGTCCTCCTCACAACCTGCTCTCCCTCCAGCACTTCCTCCTCTCCTGCTCTGTCCTGATGCTCCACCTCCACCCCTCAGGGTGCTTCTCTAGACTCATAATCAGCCTGAGGAGACATCTGATTGCCTCAAAGAAGACAC